AAATCAGTGGTATATGCAATTATGGATGTGAGGGAAGGAAGGAACATTAAGGGAGAGTAGATATACAGAGAGTAGGCTACTGTAATTAATGGTAAAATGCAATTTATCATGTTTTCCCCACAGACCACAAAATTTGATATTATGAGGTAGAATCATCGAGATGAGACAACAAAAATTGGTTTCACTGTTTCAGTCCAGATTTTATTGCATGAATACATCACATACATTATCAGATAAAAGGTCAGAACATTGTTTAATTATGGCAGATTTGTCAGTAACCTTGTGAAAATGTGATAATTTAAGTTTAATTTTCCCAAGATTCTTACATGACAATTGCCTCATGTGAATCTGATGTGATCACATGAAAACTCAACTAGAATATAGTATCAAATATCAATATCAGCCATATCAGCATCAGTTGGGTACTGTCACAGACAAACGCAACTATATCATATGATGTGCAGATAATAAATACAAACAGTCAACAATAATTGCACTAATTTTTAACATAAACATGAAATACTTTGAAAGAGATTAAAATTTAAATTATTTCAATAATTTATAAATATAAAAATATGTCAATGGCATATCCTTGTAGGTCTGCAAAATCGAGGAATTACTGATGATACATAATTATAAAGTAAGGTAAATTAGCTTTTTATAACTAAACAGTGTGATTTATATTATCACACTTTCTCTTCCTTTTGCATAAATTGGTCTTCAATGGCACAGATAATGTAAAACATTTAAAAAACTGATCATTGGTTCAAATGACATTGCATAATGTCACATCCACTATTCCTTCAAGTCCCCTGGATCTTCAGAGCCTTTATTAACATTCATCGGGTGTTCAGTGCACTATAGAGACACTCTGATCAGCCACAGCGCAGGCGGCCAGCAGCGGCTCACTGAAAGCATGTCTGACTACATGCAGCACAGACATAGATTCAGGATCATAGAACAGCAGGGTCTGACTGGGCCAATCCAGCAGCAGTCCCACTTGCTTGAGCTTCTTAGCCACTGTGATACCCACATTACATCCATCATGACAGAAAGACAAATCTCCCTCATAATGTGAGAGCACCCATGATTTTGTATTGTAGCCCAATCGTGCAGCATTGCCGGACCCCTTGCGTTCTATGCTGGAATAGCATACACCCACTTTGAAGGCAGCACTCGTGCCCACGTCAAGTACCCAGCTGTGAGTACCAGAGGACATAGCAGGGGAGCAAAGGGCATTGGGCCAGGTGTCGAAGCGCGCCAGGTCATAGGGGGGTGACTGACGCTGACGTTTGGGTAGGAAAGTTAAGGTGCACTGATCGTTGGAGAGGGAGAGAAGAGGACTGACCGTCTGAGCTTCAAAGTGTAGTGTAGTTAATCTGTGGGCTAAAGAAAGGAAGGATATGTTAAGAAGATGTTCAGAGCAAGAAAATTTGAAGTTGAATGTAAGGGATGTAGAATGCCAGTGCTTCAAAATATTACAGTACACTGACAATGCTTACATAGATATTAAAGTGAGAAGAAGACTTGATTTTACCTATCAGGAATGCATATGTACACTGCAAAAATTAAATACTGTAATGTACACTAGAGATTATTGGAGTACGTTTTACAAGAAAATACTATTTCAGTTTTTCTACTTCAAAATTTTATGTTTAATTAATTGAATTATTTTGTTAATTCAATTAATTACTTGCCATTTCTTTGTAAAATGTACTACAAATTTCTGAGTGAAAATTGCTTTTACACCCATTTTTTTTTTAGAGTTAGCAATATGTAAGCAGGTCTGGGGAACTGAAGGGGGCTAAAGGAAGGTGTTAAGGGGTCCACAGAAAAGTTCAAAGAAAAACAGTATGTAAATGGAAGAAATATAAAAAAAGTACATAAAAAAATTCTAAACAATTGAAAAATAAAGTAATTGGAAATGCTTAATATTTTTTTATATTAATACAAATATATTTATAATGTTTAAATAATCAGCAAATGGAACACACTTTCTGGACAAAAATTATGAGATAAATCATAACTATTTTGTTCAACTGACAACCACAATTTGTGTTTTCTTCAGGCTTATAAATCTAACAGTACTCTTGATGATGCAGCTAAATAGAAAGTAAGTACTTTCCAAATAATATTTTATGCATATTTATAATATTTTTATTCTTCACAATATAAATGGGAATTTATACATAATTATTATTATTATTTTTTTTTATTTTTTTTTTTCCCAGAAAAGGGGTCATCAAATTTGAGAATCTGTGGCAACACAGCATTTGAAAACCACGAGTATGGTGATCATGTGCTATAATGAATCTGTCTTAAATTAAATCATGTCTTGTGTAAATGGAAATGCACTTACCAGATGACCCTAGCAGTAACGCACTGGCCCAGAAACCCACCATGAGTTTGCTGTCACTGCAGCCTCTGTTCAAAGTCAGTTGTTCAGTGTCTCTAGGTTCACCAACACCCTCCGCATCCTCGATTCTAGCACAGTCAAGTACACAATCAATTATCATACCCAGCTTATGTCATTTTATGTATTTATGTGGGCATATTATTGCATTTATTGCAAACTGAATTTACCTGTCATTTATTTCCTCATTAGAGCTCTAAATAAATAAATAAAGATCAAAAATACAACAATCAGTGGAATATCACAAAATTATAATCAGTCACATGAATATATTTTTAATTGATTATGAACATCTAAACAGATTCGTTTTCAGAAACTGACTGAAAAACTATTAAACTGATTCAGAAGTGTGAAGTACTTATTTTAAGTATTATTTTGGGGAATTTGCTATTTAATCAGTGAAGTACTATTGAAACTAAATACTTTAAAAAATGTTTTGTTCTATTTATAACTGTACTGAAATGTCATATATTTGAAGTGTGTCCTAGAACCATATGCTGTCAGGACAAATTACTTTTAATTTGATTGATTTGTTTTCTTAAATAAGTTTGAGCACTGAAAAAAAGTGTGATTAAACAGTGTTTTTTTACCCCTCAAAATTTGTGTACTACTTTAATGAGATCACCTCTTCTGTGGCAAGATTTTCATAATAATATCTAATATTTCATTTATATCCTGTTTCGTAACAGAAAGTCATTTTTGATTTGAAACCACATAACATTTTCATGAGATGTTGATTTATGAGATGTTATTAAGAGTTAAAAAAATAGATTTAAATGACAATTACAAAATATTATCCTATTTCCATAAGAAAGTTCAATGTGATCACTAAATCAGTGTCAGCCATTTTTAAAGACCATGGAGAGGGAGTGGTCATGGTGAAACTTCCAAACATTTGGTATCTCTGAAAAGCCCTGAATGTGCTCTGTACAGAACATCCAGACTTAAAACTGTGACAGGCAAGTTCTCAGAGAAATTCACTAAAATACAATGACCTCTACGGAGGACAAAAGTCTATTCCTGGGTCTCAGGAGTGTAATGAAAAAAAAAAAAAACTACTTATAAATATAATGTTCCCTTCCGAGGGAACTTCGAACTTCATCCTCTAGGGGTCGCTATGGGGACACGACACTGTCCCCACACGACACTGTCCCCATAAACACGACAATGATATTGGCCGGAGACAGCCAATGACGTCACTACCGGCGCGACCACAGTATAAAAGGGCGCCGGTAGAACACGTCATCCTCTTCTTCGTCTTCACGACTGTTTGTTTGGAGTTGCATACTGGTGAGAACAATATTCTGTTTGTTGTTTTCATGTCGAGCACCAGCACTAGCAAGGCATTTAAGAAGTGTGTGGATCCGTGTCAGCGTTATCTGACACCTGATGACATACACAATCTTTGCGTCGTGTGTTTGGGCGAGGAGCACGCACGTGACGTCCTCGAGGGGGCGGCATGCGTTCATTGCAAGCTTTTCTCCATGAGAAAGCTCCGCTCTCGTTTGGCCCTCTTTTTGAGGAAGGAGGGGCAGCCATCGGTTCCCCGGGGCTCAGGACCTGCCGCTGCTGAGGCACGGAGGAAACTGAGTTCATGGGGTTCTCAGGTGGACCTGGACGATGAATTGAAGAAGGGGCTTTCCCTTACTCATTCGTCGGTTACGGACGAGAGTGAGCTGTTGGAGGATGACGTTATTTCTCTGACGTCATCTGATCCAGCAGCTAGTGCTCTGCTGGCTAGGCACGGAGGAAACTGAGTTCATGGGGTTCTCAGGTGGACCTGGACGATGAATTGAAGAAGGGGCTTTCCCTTACTCATTCGTCGGTTACGGACGAGAGTGAGCTGTTGGAGGATGACGTTATTTCTCTGACGTCATCTGATCCAGCAGCTAGTGCTCTGCTGGCTCCCGGCCAGGAAGATGTTATGATGAGGACGAGGAAGTTGAGACTGAGTCCTCTCAAACCTCCTGCCCTGCGTACGAGGAGCTGCTTCAGGTTATGGAACGCCCCACGGCAAGCGGACTAGGAGGGTGGCGTCTTGCGGCCAACTCGATGAGCGCTATCTTTCTGATCATAACTGTCCAGCCCAGGTGAGCCTTCCATTTATTCCTGATCTTCATGTGGAGATCGAGAAGACTTGGAAAAATCCGTTCTCTTCGCGTGTCCACAGATTTCAGCAGTCTAGTTATGCCAACATCGAGGGAATGCGCGAAAGCGGATATGAGAAGGTGCCTCCCATTGAAGAGACACTAGCCTGCTATCTCGCGATGGGAGAAACATCTTCTTTTAAGACTCCCTCCTTGCCATCTAGACCCCTTCAAATAACATCTCGTCTGAATGGCAAGGCGTACGCAGCAGCAGGTCAGGCGGCGGTTTCATTGCATACCATGGCAATTTTGCAGGCTTATCAGGCCGACCTGCTGAAAGACCTGGATAAAGGTCATGGTCTTTCCCCTGATGAAGTGGCTGAACTGCGCCGCACATCTCGCTCTCCGTGCCACCAAGCAGGCCGCTGCTGCTGTAGGCAGGTCTATGGCGGCTATGGTGGTAACGGAGAGACATCTGTACTCTTGTGGAAAAGAAGAGTAGACTTTTTTCGTCCTGGCTGCTGTTATGGTTGAGCCTAGCAGTGCTCCCTTCTTCGAGGTTCGTTTTGAGCATATTGCTCCCAGTTGAGCTTCTATGGTCTCTTCCGCTCCTGGAGTTGGTTGTTTCTCTGCTTAGACCCTAGTCTTGTCATGTCAGGTGCACAAGCTAATGCACTCTGTTTAATGCTAACTCTCTGTGCACTTCCTTTAATTCCATAATCATGGTAGATGCGCACGTTGGGCCTTTGCGCACCTTTCTAAAACTTTTTGGTGAGGGTGACGCGATGCTGCCTCGTCCCCTTTCTCTGAGTTGTCTCAGGCCCCGGATCCTACTTGGGGCTCACTCTCCTATGTATCTCTGATGATACTGGTATGGTTGTACATTTTTGGAGCATTGAGCAGCAGCCTCAGGTTGTTAGGCCCCTTTCGGCCTCCTTGTTAGGCTGCTCTCTTTGTTGCTGAGTTCAGCAGTGCTCCCCACACCTTTGAGGGTTACCTTTGAGCCACGCCACTCCCAGTTGAGTGTCTGAGGTCTCCTCTCATTGGGTCCTCCACTCCTTGGAGCTCCACTGAGCAGCAGCTTCGGGTTGTTAGGCCTTCCTCGGCCTCCCTGTTAGGCTTCTCTCTTTTTGTGGTGAGTTTAGCAGTGCTCCCCTCACCTTAGAGGGTAACCTTTGAGCACGCCACTCTTAATTGAGCGTCTGAGGTCTCCTCTCATCGGGTCCTCCGCTCCTTAGAGCTCCATTGAGCAGCAGCCTCAGGTTGTTAGGCCTCCCTCGGCCTCCCTGTTAGGCTGCTCTCATTGTTGGTTGAGCATGCGGCCTCTCGCTGAATTATTGTCACTCCTTGAGCGGGTCACAGTCACATAGGGTCTAGGCCTGTCTAGGGGACAGGTTCTTGGTTACCCTTTAGTAACGGTGTTTCTAAATCCATGCTATGGTAAGTGCACACGCTCAGCTTCTGTGCACTTTCTAAAATCCACATTGTGGTAAGTGTGCACGCTAAGAATTTTGCGCACTTTCTAAAATCCTGTAGGGTAAGGGTTACGCGCTGTAGCCTCGTTCCCTTTCTATGAGTTGGTTAGGTCCCGGTTTTCACCTTGGGCTCCACTCAACCTATGTCTCCCTGTTGGTTCATTACGGTATTTCTAATCCATATCTATGGTAAGTGCTCAGGCTAGTTCTATGTGCACTTTCTAGGTCCATATTCATGGCAGGTGCACACGCCAGCCTTTGTGCACCTTCTTAAAAGCCTTTATGGTAAGGGTGACACTTGTTGCCTCGTCCCCTTTCTCTGAGTTGGCTCTGGCCGCGGTTACCTTGGGCCCCACTCTCCGCATATTCACTTTCTAGACAGGGTGTTACTACTAAGTGTCCCTGAGTATCTTGAGATCCTCGGGAGCTCGTTCTTAGAGCAGGAGGTAGTCTCTGTTTGACAGACCAGGATATGGGTTTGTAAGCAGCCCTGATACTCGGCCTTGGTGCTCGCCTTGGTATTGGAATGCACTCCCCTCAGCATGGCAGCGTGGGTATACCGTTTCCCATAGCGACCCCTAGAGGACGTAGTTCGAAGTTCCCTCGGAAGGGAACGTCTCAGGTTACGTATGTAACCATGGTTCCCTGAGAAGGGAACGAGACA